AAGAAAAATACTTTTAAAAAAATGAAAGATTCAATGTTGCTTAGATGTCAGTCCTCCTTAGGTAATTTATAGATTCAATACAATTTACATAAAAAACTCTGCTATTTTTTAGAAATTGCAAATGATAATTCTAAAATTTACAAAGAAATGCAATGTACCCAGATGAGAAAAAACAACTTTGAAAAAGAACATAATGGAAGAACTTCTACAATCTAATTTCAAGTTATAAGGATGAATTTTATGCTGTGTCAATTATATCTCAATTTTAAACAAAGAATAAAAAAGGGGGAGGTAAGTATAGGTTTGTGGTTCTAATAGGCATCCTATAATTTAGTAAACCTTAATATGAAAATGTCTGTTACATGATCTCAATGGTAAATAAATCAAGTCTGTTAAAAAAATATATAGAAATGGCAATAAACACCTGAAAAGATGCTCAGTATTATTAGTCATTACTAAACTGCAAATGAAAATGAAATCAATACTTTATTCACCCATTAGAATGGTTTAAATTAAAAAGACTGATAATACTAAGAGTTGGTGATGATGGAGACAACCTGGAACTCTCCCATGTTGCTTTTGTTAAAATAAAATGGTGTATTTTGAAAAAGTACTTACTTTGGCAATTCCTTGTAAAACTAAATAGTTACCATTTATGCCTACAATTCTACTCTCAGATATTTACTAAAGAAATATGAACGTCCATGTCTACACAAAAATGTGTACACAAATGTTTATAGCAACTTTATTTATAATACTCAAAACTAGAAACAACACAAATGTTCAATAAATAAATGAACAACTTATTTTATATTTGTACTTTGAAACACTCAGCAATATAAATAAATAAACTAAAAAAATTTATTTAGAAGCAAAAATAAAAGAAAAAACAAGTCAATCCAAATGACTGGAAAAAAAGGGCAAAAAAAAAAAGACAGATAGTAGGCATATATAATGAAAACAGTAACATTTAAATGTATTGGTAATCATAATAAACATAAATGACATAATCTTCAATTAAAATATAGAAATTGGGCCAGGAGCAGTGGCTCATGCCTATAATCACAGCACTTTAGGTGGCCAAGTCAGGAGTCGCTTGAGTCCAGAAGTTTAAGACCAGCTCAGATAACATAGCAAGACCCCACCTCTACAAAATATTTTGAAGAATTAGCCAGGTATCGTGGTGCATGCCTATAGTACCAGCTATCAAGAGGCTAAGGCAGGAGGATCACTTGAGCCCAGGAGTTCAAGGCTGCAGTGAGCTATGACTTTGTGTCAGTACACCTCTGCCTGGGAGACAGAGACCCTGTCTCTAAAAAAAATAAATAAAATAAAATAAAATTAAATTAAATAAATAATTAGTTGAAAAATAAATATAAAATTAATATCTCTCTTTTTTGATTAAAGGGCATACCTAAAACATGAGGACAAAATTTGAAAATAATAAGATAATAAGATAGAAAGGCTTAGAATAAGCATGTATTCATCAAAAGAATGCTAGTGCTATAATTTAATATAAAATCATCTTTAATTACAGAAAACTCTGTATTTATAGGGACTGAATAATAGCAGCCTTGAAATTTACTTGGTAAAAATTAACCTAATAAGCAGAAATTGACTAGTTTACAATTATAAGGGGATATTTTAACAAGCCTGTCTCAGAAAATAGAGCCAAAATAAATCATTAAGTAAGTTTATGATGTGAACATCATAATGGACAAGTTTGATTAAAATGGACATGTACGTAGCACCAAAACTTTTAGGTACACATGAAAATTTAAAAAAATTTTCCCCTTTCTAAGTCATATGTCAACATATGTTTCAAAAGATTTCCGTCATACAGGTCAATTCTCTGAACATAATTCACTTATAATTAAAGTGAATAATAACAAAGTACCTAAAAATCTTTTATTTAATTTGGAATAAAAATAATAAAACCAGTTCAGAGGCATAGACTTATCCTAGAAATGAAGAAATACTTAAACTAAATGCTAATAAAAATAATACATATCAGTACTAGTGGGGAATACCTGAGGGAGAATCTCAATGAGAATTTATAATTCAAATGCTTATATTTGTAAGGAAAGATGTAAAAATTAATAAGCTAGACATTCAACTTAGTAGTTGAAGAAAAAATGGATTTAAAAAGTAGAAGAAAAAATAATATTAATAACAGCAAGGATATAAATTATTGAAATAGAAAACAAAGACAAATAGAGAAGAACAACCAATTCAGAAAGAAGATTGAAGGATAGAGGATGGAGGGGAGAAAAAAAGGGAGAGCAAGAGCAAGAGCAATAAGGAAAGAGGGTGCATGAAACCGAGAGGGAGAGAGTGCCCTAGGAGAAGTAGAAAGGCATTAGTAAGACACAATAGGAATCAAAGTGGTACATTACTGTCACAAGTGAAATGATTAAACATATAATAAGAGTATATCATACACTGATCTTTGCAAATATTCTTGAAAAGCTATAAAAAATGGAAAAAAATTAAAAGTACTAAAAGTGACTCTAAAAGAAATGAAAATGTCTTGATAGTCCTTTACTGGTTAAATATGTTTAAACATTATTAAATTTTTTTCTAATACTGAAAGCAATAGTCCTAGATGGCTTCAAAGTGTAGTTCTGATTTTTAATAAGTTTTTCCAGGCAATATAAAAAACAAGAATGTTACTCCCTAACCCATTTTATGAGTTTAGCATGACCTAATTTGATACTGACACAAAATAATTAAATACAGTCTAAGAAAAAAATTGTAAGGTCTAATAAATCTTCAGGGTAAAAATGTTCTTTTATATGCTTAGAAAGTCAACTTTTAGTTTATAATTAAGCCACAGATATGCATATTTATCTAATTTAAATGAATTTTTTTCTACTTATATTTTTGCTTATTTATATCCTATGTCACCTTTTGTTTGTTAGATTGCCAGATCATTTACCTTGAGGCTTATCAAGTCCCAGTATCATGATTAGGGGATACAATGTGAAATTGTGACCTTCTAAATCTGAGGCCTAGAGTTTTATTTCCCCATGGTTTATAGGCTAAACACCAAATTTCTCAGTTGCTATGAAAGATCATTGAATGTCTGTGCCCAGTCTTCCTTTCATTCTTATTTTCTATTATTCCTCTATGTGAGTCTTAATTATAGTCAATTATTTTGTTTTGTATTCTCTAAACACACTCTCCTTCCTGACACTGTGCATTTGTGTGATACTCTTTCCTTTCCCCTTACCTAATGAATGATTCTCATCACCCAGTTCATGTTCCACTAGCTCCATGAGGTGTATGATAACCTTCTGAGTCTTCTCTAAATTTTCATGATGTTTGTACAGCTCATTCAGTCCTTTATGTTTATTTATGAGTACAGTAAGTAGAGCTCTGAAAGCCCCGAGTGTTACACGAGAACCATTAAGGGAATAAAGTGTTCACCATATGCACATCTTTGTGTGGTAATGACTGACATATGATATATAATTTACCATTTAACCACTTTTACGTTCACAGTTCAGTAGCATCAAGTATATTCACAGTGTTGTGAAACAGATCTCCAGAACTTTTAATCTTGCAAACAAGAAACTGTATACTCATGAAACAACAACTCCCTCTTTTCTCTCTATTCCCAACCCCTGGCAGCCACCATTCTACTCTCTGTCTCCATGAACTTGAGCACTCTAGATACTTCACATAAACAGAATTGGAATCACACAGGTATTTGTTCCTCTGTGTCTGGCTCCCTTCATGTAGAACAATGTTCTCAAGTTTCATCAATGCTATAACACATGATAGGATTTAACTATACACATTCTGATATATCTAAAATTTCCATTTCTTAGGATGATCACTTAGACATTTTTATCTTTTGCACTAATCTTTATTTGCTGTTATGTTGGAGAAGCACAAGTCACAAAATATTTTTATTAATCTTCTGAACATAACCGACAACAAGAACAGAATATAACGAAGGTATGGTGTATTGTAGATGTTTGAAGTAATAAGTGAATGGTCGTGATTTGCACCTAATTATATTTTACTCACATGTTAGGTGGCTTTTTATGCACCTCCCTGTCAGTGTGCACCACTAAAATGTATGTCCCAGTCAAAATTACCAGTTATTTCAAGTCACAGATCTCTAGGTTCACTTATGAATAATGGAAAATATTATATGTGTAAATCCATGAACACTAAGAATATACTTCATTTCTAAACTAAAATAGTTCAAGGTCTCCTTCTTTCTTTCATTATATTACTCTTATAATGAGCTGTCCAGTGATGTGTATAAACTAGGTACTCAACGAACATCTACATGAAATCGATTTTCCTGCTGTGAAAATGATGTTGAACCTGCTATATAAGTTATTGCAATGAAGAGTAAATGTCTTGCAGAGAGCACAAGAGAAATAATAATCATGCATATTGGTCTTTTTTCAATTTCTAAGCCTGTGTCAGTCCTCCTTCAGGCTGTAGTACTTGCTGTTCTTTTTGTGGAGAATACTCTGCCTTAAGATATTTGTTTGACTGACTTCCTTTTGTTATTTAGGTATCAGCTTAAATATCACCTCATCATACCTGCTTTACTCAGCCACTCAATCTCATAACATTGACTCTTCTTCCAGTTACCTTTAATCTATCAAATTTTTGTTTTCCTTTTAAGACTTATTACCATATAAAACTATGTTTTCCATTTATTTGTTTACCATCTGTTTCCCTTCTCAGGAAGGTAAACTCCACACAAATAAAACCCTTTTTTGTTTTGTTCTTGCCCTATTTCTAATACAACACTCCAACTAGATGTTCAATAAATAGTTGCTAAATTAATAAGTGACTGATATATGTAATATGAATTATGCTGCTATATTTTAAAGGATAATAAAAAAGAAACTATGATATAATGAAGAATATAATTATATATGTATATATACAAACACACACACAAAATACACATATATCTGTGTGGATGGATGGATAGACATGTAGATATATTCAGCATTTCTACTATTTACCTTTCCAAAAATGCTTAATCTTTTGGAGTCAATGTATGGCTGTTTTAGTAAAAACCTGCAATGAAAAAGAAAAAAAATATAGTTATATCTTCTTGAGTCAAATGTTTATGTAAATTTATACTTACACATACACACAAATACACAAAAGTCAATGACTAGTGATGCTTTATTGACAGTGTGTGACTCTATTTAGGTGGAAGAGTTGTATATTCCAAAATTTTGCTATGCAATGTGATGGTCCAGTAGTCTGGCATCATCTAGGAGCTTGTTATAAATGTGGAATTTGGGCTCCTTTCTAGGCCTACTGAATCAGCATCTACATTTTAACAATATTCTATCTAATTTCTATGTACTGCTGTAAGGAACCTACTAGCTTTCTTAGGTCACACTTTCATGCCAGTGTGGTGATGTTATCTGTGAAATTGAAAGAATTATAATTAACTGGGGAAATAATAGACATTGTAGATTATTGTGAACAATTAATATAGTGGTATAATTAATCTCTTCCATTTTCATGAATCAAAAGCAAGTTCTAATTCCAGAGGGAAAATGTGGAATTTTTTTTATTATAGCACTAAAGGTGACAGGTACTTTAAAAAATGCCATAGGCTCCATAGCTAACCTATAAAATTGCCCAATCACTAAAATAGAAACAGCTAAATTAGGGTTAGTAGTATTATATGGAATATACCTAGATACTATCATTATAGAAAAAAAGTAGAAAACTGTGCACCCACTTACTTCACAGCTGCTATTTGATCCTTTACTTCTATTGAACCTAACCTTCGATGAATCTCCTGTAAAATTTTCAGACCCTGGAAGCCACTTCCTCTGCCATCAAATCTTGCTACAATGACATTATCTGTGTCGACAAGTACGGAATCCCAGTCAATACGGAATTTGTCATTAACCAACTGGCCTCCTGGTTCTTCATCCCTGCAAATACCAACATATTAAACCAAAACAAGAGCAATCGAAAATCTGTTAAAAGTTCTACCTTTCATACTTCCTAGTTAACAACATTTATGGAAAAGGCCTATGTTGGCTATAAAAATTTGATGATAAACTTGAAGGTAAAAATACAATTTTCCTTTATAAAATTTTAATGGAAAAGAGTTCTGAATAGAATGAAAATTATGACTTAGAAATAAACAGTAGGGATTAGTTTAACTCACTTTTTTTCAAAGAGAAAAATAAAGAATAATAAATGATGCTTTCCATAGGTATTTCTAAATAATGATTGTCAAATTGACACATCTATCTTTTTTGGATTTCTTCCAGACAGTGTAGTTTAGAAATGTCTTGCAGATGGCTTATAATGGTTAAAGGGTCTGAGAGAGAGCAGAATCAATTACAGAAACTTGACTATAATTTAATAGGAAATATATAGCCCTAAAGACTATTTGACTCAAAAAGAAATACTGCATTAATATTTTCTGAATTGTTTTGTTTATTTGTTTGTTTTGGGGATGGAATTCTCACTGAGGAGAATTTAAGAAAACAGTGAGAAAAATTATTTTTCATCACTAAAGTTGACAGTAAGGAAAGGAAGTAGAGACATGTATGTTTGAAAAATTTGAAAGCTAGAAAAGTAAAGAAGGGAACACAAATTCAAAGCATGAACATTCTCTCCAGAGGGAAAAAGTGGTATAATTTTAAAATGTCAGTTCAAAATGGTATTTATTATTATATTTTCTAGAATAGAGAAAAAATTATAAAGCAGACTGTCATAAAATCACACAGATTTTTGGTCCAAACTTAGGGGTAATTCAAACAGCAGTTGTGCATGTGTTAGATTTGAGGATCATTCGAACATTCAACTTTGAAAGGATCTATGTTGTTAGTTGGGCAACATGCCAGAAATCCCCATCCTACTCACTTTCTTCAAGGTAAGGCTCCAAGCTCTCCTACCTTCAAGTTTATGAAGCTCCAATACACAAATGAATCCTCATTAACAAGCTTTTAAGTTATCAGATTTACTAAAGCAAATAACCTCTCTCAGCAACAAAAGGAACTAAGCAGGCATAGGGGTTGTGTAGCACCAGTAAGTAAGTTAGCACCAGTAAGTAAGGAGAAAGAGAATAGGGCAAAACACCAAGCAACTAAAATTTACTGAATGATGTTATGGGCTGAACTGTGTTTCCCCAAATTTATATGTTGAATCTCTAATCCTTAGTACCTTAGACTGGGACTATATTTGGAGATTGGACCATTAAAGAAGTAATTGAGTTAAAATGAGGCCCTTAGGGTGGGTCCTAATCCAATCTGACTGGTGTCCTTATAAGAATAAGAAATTTGAAAGCACAAAAGACCCCAGAGATGCAACTACACCACAGGGGGACTACATATGAAGAGGCAGAAAGCGGGTGGCCATCTGCAAGCCAAGGAAAGAGGCTCCAGAAAAAATCCTGCTGACATCTTGATCTTGAGCTTCCAATTTCCATAACTTTGAGAAAAATTAATTTCTGTTGTTCAAGATACCCAGTGAGTAGTATTTAGTTACAAAAGCCCTAGCAAATGAACACAAATGCCTTCTGTGGTCTAAGCCCTTAAGATCTATTATCTCATATACTCTACACTACCAAGATTTAATTAATCTTTTTGGGAGAAACTTGCCTGTGACATGGCTTATTACATGTATTATAAATAAAAAACAACTATAAAGAAACTGCCATAGAAGTTAATCATGACTACTTTCCATTGTTTCCTAAATCACACATTTAACCATGATCTTGTGACTAAAATATAAATCTAAATCTATCTTTTCCTTCTATGGTGTTTGCAACCTAGCCTTTTTTTTTCTTTTCTTTTATACCTTATTTTAAAATTTATTTTAGTTTTATAACCTTAACTCTTGATTAGATAATTAGGAATTAGTTACTACACCTATCCAACTGCTCTAACCTAGAATTGTAATTGCTTCATTCGGAAGAAAGTCTGGGATTGCTGTTTTATTTTTTTTCCAGTTCCTCAGGTGGTGACTGATGTAGCTTGTTTAACATTTGAGAACTAACATGAATCAATATGCCTAGCACAATTTCTGGCATATGTAGGATACAGCCAATGCTTGAAACTAGACCTTTTTAGGTAAATAGGTTCATGTGAGTTTTAAAATAGACCTTAAAAATACTTTATTTTACATAAAAACGCCGTATTTTAAAGCTTGGGGATTTATTGCAAATATTATGGTTCCCAGAGCACAAGATATCAAAGATTAACTTCATGTTTTAATACTAAGCTGAGTAAAAATACTGAGTTTGAGTCTCAAGGGCACACTGAACACAGATAGGCAAGATACTGAAACTCTAAGACTCAATTTCCTTATGAATAATAATGGTAAAATACTATCCTGTCTCCCTCAAAGAGATTTTGTAAGCATTAAGTGGCATAATGCATCTGAAGATACTTTATGAGATGTAATGAGCAAAACTATAATTAGATTTATGGAACAATAAAAATTTTTACTATTTTATTCAAAGCCAATTTCACTTCTGTTGAGCATACTTTTTTATAGTTACCATTCAAAATAGAAAACTATATAAAGATTTTGGCTAGTCTTGCAGAAATTACACTGGGCAATATCTAAGGATAAAGTGCAACTGTCATGTTGCATAAGCTAGTATGTCATAGGTACTCCCATTTCCTAGATGGACCAATGATATCTAAAATCTTATAAGAATATAAAAAAGTGTAATCAACAGACCCTTGAGTGATTGCCAGGCAGCTGTTAGCTTTTAAGGCAGGATTGTACCATTTTAAACTCTGGCAATATAAATGGTAAAATGTTTTGTTTGTTTGAAAGATACAATTTTCCAATTTACATATGACCTATTTCATTGTTCACAACTATTTTAGGAGTTCACAGCTAAGTTAAGTTTAGCTAAAATGTAAATAAGTCAGGCATTTTACGGCAGGCAAATACATTATTTTAGAATATAGTTTAAAATAAGGCACATTTTCAAATTCGTGATTAGTAAAAAGCGATGGATTTTTTAAAACAAAACTTTCAGTCCCTTACTCATGATTGCAGCTGCCCGTGTGTGTGGGGTGCACAAATACAATTTCACTCTTTTTTATCCTCTCTAAATTGCTATTTTAAATTTCAACCTTGTTTTTCCAAAGTTTTAATGTTAAAACACACAGCAGTATCAATATATTATGAACCAATGATTTTGAATACATTTCTGTGTCTAATTAGGTATTGTTTCTTCTTTTTTGGTGTGAGATTTATCATATCTATTTCAAGATGAATTTAAAAGGACATAGATTATGATGCTAAGCATTGTCCTTATAAGGAACATGCTAGGTAGGCACTTGCAAGAAAATGGTAGAAATTAATTGATCACAAATGTTGACCAGAAAAATACTATACTTGTTTTGTAAATAAAGCCCATAAAATAGCATTTGTTCAGTGAGGTATAAGAGATGACCACAGGAAATGTACTACAGACAAAATTATCCACCATATTATCAATGGGAGTTGACTTATGTGCACATGGACTATGCAGAATCAGTAAGCTCCAATTGATTTGGTTCCTTTTTGGTTTTTTTTTTCTGAATGTCTTCCTTATTTTCCTTCTATACTATTTTGCTTTTTTATCTCAGTGTCAGAAATCTCTGGGGACCCATAGTAAGGAGAGGGTGTTTCAAGGTTGAGTGTGGGGACATACAACTTTGTTGAAATTTGTGGTGAAAAGAGCAATTCCATCTGTTTTAAGCAGTGGAAAGGTTACAGCTATGTGAAACTTGTGTATTTCCTAACATAAGCGGCAGAACCAAATTAAGACTGTAAACTTTTCTTAGAAGTTAAGGTCTTTAAGGAAAGTATCCTCATCTATTTCAAGACTTTCAAAACTGAAAGTATGGATGAAAAGTTCCTAATATGAGCATAAAATAAAATATAGAAAAAAGAAATAAAACAAACAATATCCAATAGGTCTTTAAAATGACAGAACTAGGCATCTATTTATGACAATATAATTTATTTTAAAACTGAATTAAAGTCAAGGGATTTGTTCAAACTACATGTGTGATCATGTTCACAAAGTGCCACTTAAATTGATGAAAAGAGGGTTGAATTTATACTTAAAAGACAGAGGTTTTGAATATTGGCTTTGTTACCAATCTGCTGAGTTACCTTGAGCAATTATATGCTTTTTACATTTTTATTCATTGTTTTCATTATCAAGGAATATTTGGTAAATGTTAAGATCACAAATTATCAGTACAGTTCATTTTTAAAAGCTCTTTGCCTTATTAGTAAAGCTTTGATTACAATAAATGCAAGGAAGAATATTTTCTTATGAGAGCACTTTCCATGACTGGTCTATTGACTAGCAGAATTTTAAAACTGCCTTACGTCAGCTGAATATCTGTGTTGATGGGGCAGTGAAAAAGGGGGATACAGAGAGAATTTTGTATAGTCATCTCAGGTCTTTCCTCTTTTTAGGCCTTGATTATGTTGACTCTGGTCAAGAGCAAGAATCATTGAGCACCAGGTGTAATTTTGTTGTATGTATTATGTGCTCAAAGAGTGTGTGAAAAGAAAAGGAAAGAACAACATGGAAATTAAGGTAATGGAAAGGAAACTGATTCGGCAAAGAGCCATATTGTGTTGCATTCTTAAGGAAAATCTATTGTCAATGCTTCTGATTTTGTTCTTCATGAAAGAATTCATTTCAGACAGAACATGAGATTGACATAGGATAGTAGGTTTAAACAGTATTTGTCTTGCCTTAATCTGACATTTACCTAATAGAGATTTATAATCAGTGATGTTTTAGTTGCAAATATGCATATCTATAATAAAGTTTGTCCTCTTTCAAGCAATATATAAAAATAGACACCTGCAACAGTTAAGTACCTCTTGGACCAATTCTTTCTATTTCTCTATTATCTTTAGATTTCTTCTCATGGATAGACTGTCCTACAATAAG